AGTCTTACAGGCTTGCAGCCCGCAATCCTGCCGAGCCACCTTGACCAAGCGACACGCACGCTTCACATCACCTGTTAAAGCAAAACATGCTCCCGGTAAGGCTTGCAACAAGAATTGGTCTCGCACATGGATACGAGTTTTCACATCTACCCCATGTGTACCGTCGTGAACAACCCGGTAGGTACCATCTTCCTTCTAGCGATGCTACAGCAAGATTGCTGAACTCGCTCTTTGCCTCCCCCAATCGCATGTCTACCGTTGCACCAAGTTCTGCTTCTTGCATGAACTGCTCTTGGATGATCTGCGACTGTTGTTGCGCTGAAATGTAGTTTTCACGCACTTGATCCTCAGCCTGTTCTTGGGGATACTTTTTCCATTTTACTTCTCGCTCAAAGGACTGCAGGCACACGTGGCTCCCACTCCCAAGCGTACGCCATTTCCAAAAGATTGACTCGAGCTGCAAAATGCTTTGTAGTCAGGATCACCAGAAATTCGCAGCAAAAGTTCCTGAATTGCGGCCAAATCTATTTGAATAGTCACAAGAACATGCCCACGAACATCCAGCACAGCGCCGGCGTAATACTCTAAAGCTAAAAAGATCAACCCCCGTCCTTCTTCTATGATATTGGCTGTGATTGGACATTCCGCTATCCGACCGGTTGCCAACTCCATTGACTCCATTGCAAGACGTCTCACATCAAATCTCTCACGCAATAGCTTCCCTAGCTCAACTCCGATGGCATCCATGAACTTTACCTCAGGCACGCCAGCAGAGCTCTTGCGCATTGGGGAAGCCATCACCCCGGCGCGCATAAACCTAATCTGTCAGAGAACGCTCTTTGCTTTCCCATCAACGACGAAGTCAACGGTGGACCTCGCCCCCAAACCGAGAGCCCAGCTTTGGCTTGGCGAACCCTTCCTCATCCTCTTCCGAGCTGATGTCCTGATTTGCAGCCCAAGCCGCTTCCCCTGTCTTTTCCCATTTCCAGCCTTCATCATCCTTGCCAGACGGGCCATCGCTCTCAATGCCAGGATCACACTCCATCTGCGATTCCACAGCCCCATCCGCAGGCGCCAGATGGAGTGGTGCTGAAGGATCTATATAGTCATTCTTTGGGGGCCGACCGCTATCTGTGGGCAAGTGATGTAAGAATGTTGTCCCAAGCATCTCTGACACGCAAGTGCAAATTTAGAAAGCTTTTTCTTGCGCCCAATCGTCTTGTTGTAGCCAAAACAAATGCGCAGTGCACGAGTGCTTCTTGATGCTCCGGATCACGTCACCCTTGTCCGGGCGGGCACGCTTGCGCCACGGCAGATCACCCGTGCCACTTTGGAAATCACCTTGGTTTCCAAAAGAGGAGGAGGTGAAAGGCCCGATGAAATGCATCGCGTAGAGCTCGAGGGCGACGCAAGCGCTTGCCAAGGCTACATTCAAATCATTGGCGTGGCCATCACGCACAAGGCAGTAGGCACGCTTGCGCACTTCACTTTCATACTGCGGCACCAGGCTCCACGAAGGATAGCGCCCATCTGGCGACCAGAGGCCGGCAATACGATCTCCCAAAATGTGATCTGAAAGCTTGCGAAACCCATCCAAGCATCGCTCAGGCAAACAAGGTCGAGAAAAATGCTGGAGCATTTCCCAAGCGAGCCCCAGCCGACGATGCCGCATGCGCAATTCCTCTGGATTGCATGGTGGGGTAGTCATCGTTTTCCCCGGCTTGATGCGGAGAAAAGAACAAGCTGGATCAATCACACTCTCATAAGCACCCATTTGCGCGTCCTCCAAGCTGGTGACATCCATCTTCCACATGGGGAGAATTGTCCTCCACCTGCTCAATCTTTTGCGCCAACAAAAGATTTACTGGGAAGCTCCTTGTCCCGAAGATCTCCGTGGACCCTCCCGCGTCGCATGGTTGGGATGACGCGGGTCTGTCGAACCCGCGCGATGCTTCTCACCCACAGTCAATTGGGTGCGAGAGGTTCCTATCCAGTTCACTCCTAATCCAACCACTAGCCGCTGCCTAAAAGTCCCCTTTCGTTGGACGCCTGCGTCCACCCCATGGGAGCACAAATGAGGCGAGGCCGAACAGGGTGCCTATCAGGCCGTCCATGACAACTATTAGCTGCTAAGTCCTTTGGACAATGACATGACAAAAAACACACACCTCACCGGAAGATCAAGACCTGCAGACCTAACTGGGCATACTTTGAAGGATGAGAAAGTCACCAGCATGTATCAAGCGCTGCATCTTACGTGTCAAAAAATGACATGGTCTATTTCTTGGTGCGTCCCGATGCGACGAACAGTCCAAGATCCACTCTACAGGAGCCAACAATGGACAGATGTGTGTCAATCAAACATACCAAGCACAAAACGCAAAGACCCGAGCTCCGCCAGCCACAACCACAATGGTGGGATCCATGAATGGCTCAACACATGATCTGACCGCCAGCAGGACGAGGAAATAATCGACGGCCGGAAGACCAAACTCCTACAATTTGCAGGCTTCACGTCCCGCACAGCGTTCCAGGCAGCCTCCCCTGAAATCCAACTCAATTTTGTCACCTCCAAGATGTCAACCGGCCAGCCACTGCATGCCGCTGCCTGGCAACCGGACCGGTAGGCCAACTTCAAGTCTCAACGGCATGAGAGATACACTGCCAAATATATGCGAAATTTTTGGATGAGTGTTTCCTGCCAGGTCGGGGTTGTATTGGATTTGGCAAAGTCCCAATGGGAAGACACACCCCTGGCTCATGCATTAAGTAAACCAACCTGGGCTTGTCTTGGAAGGATCTCTCACCAAGAAAAACCACCATGACACTTCAATCTGACAAATTTGCTGGCATGTGTTGAAACTGTTCTTCGGCATTATTTCTTCCATGTCTTCTGACACTCTTTCTGACATTCTTTCTGGCGCTTTATCTGGCATATCTTCTGTCCGGCAGGGGACACTGCCATCCGGAGCTGGCGGTTGAGGGAACACTGCCATCCGGAGCTGGCGGTTGAGGTCCGGCGGGAACACTGCCGTCCGGAGCTTGCGGTTGAGGTCCGGCGGGGAACACTGCCGTCCGGAGCTTGCGGTTGAGGTCCGGCTGCCCAATGCCCATGGAGAAAACCATCGGATTGCGCGATGAGCCAGAGCCGGGAACACTGCCATCCGGAGCTGGCAGTTGAGGTCCCGCGGGGAACACTGCCATCCGACACTCGTGGTTGAGGAGGACGAGGAGGAGGAGAGGAGAGGAGACGAGGAGAGGGGCAGGGCAGCTGACATAAAATCTAACAGCCCTCACCTGACAGGTGGGGAATCAAGAAAATGCCTTAAACACATCGATTCTCCCAAGAATCAGAAAGCACATTAAGAGGCATGGTTCCAGAAACAAGCCATGACCTCTATGTTATTCATCGAAACTTAACCGCATCTCAACGGAGTGCCAATCGCCCCAATCGCCTCCACCAAAGAAAGCCCGACCTGCTCCTCCGCCTGGAGTTTCGAGATGTATTGAAAAACTCTGAAAATATGCAAAATGTGTCTTTCCATATTAGTTTCCCAGTCTAAAGACAGTTATGGAGCTGGAAGAGCGTTGTCTTTTTACCCCTACTACTAAGTACTAGCCAGATCTAGCCAGAAGTTTCTCATCCCGTACTAAACTGAACAGAAACAGAAATGCCCGACCAATATATAAATGTAATTCTTTTCAAAGAATCGGGTCCCCTCAATAATCAGAGTCTCCTCGCTCTGTATCTAGTCCCTTGACCATGTCGGTCGGGGTGATTAATTGCCTGTTCATTGGACCAAATAGAAAAAGTAGGAAGAAAAAGGCTGGATGCTTTGCACGGTTTCTGATCGGTGTAGGTGTGTCTCCAAGAACTAGGGGTCAGTTCTCTACAGGCCCCGGTATATACCTGAAACATTTCACCTCAATTGCTCCAGCCAGCACTTGGTCAAGTCGGCCTGGAGAATCATGACTGCAAAGCAATTTTAAATCCCAGCGCATGGGAGTGAACTCAAGAGCAAACCATTGCAATGCAAGCTTCGGAGGTTGCTGGGCAAGGTAACCCCTTTAAAAGTTTGATTGAACCCAGCACCCAAGGAAAGACTTTGGAGATTGCTGGGCCACATCACTCGCTCCAAACTTTGATTGAAGCTACGGCCAAAGGCGAGACTCTGCAAGTTCACTGGGAAAATCGCTCCCTCCAGGCTCTGGTTGAATGCATCACCAAGGTTGAGGCTTTGAAGGTTGCTGGGGAAAGCTACCCCCTCCAGGCTTTTATTGAATCCACGGAACGTCAAGCTCTGGAGGCTTTCAGGCCAACTTACTCCCTTCAAGCTTCGATTGAAATCAACGCTCAAGAATAATGTTTCAAGGCTCGGAAAGGTCACTCCCTGCAAGTCATGGTCAAATCGTTTACCAAGCTTCAAAGTCTGCAAACTGCCAGGCCATCTCACGCCCTCCAAGGAATGGTTGAACCGATCGCCAAACACCAGGCTCTGCAAACTGTCGGGCAATGTCACGTTTGCCAAAGGCTGACTAAATGTATTGCCCAGCTTGAGACTCCTCACTTGTCTAAATCCCCTACAGTAGGTGGAACACGTTGAGTTTTGCCAACGAACCAGAACGAAGACAACAATGTTGAAACAACCAGACTCCAGTTTTGAAACTTTAAAACAAGTCTTTTGCATCTTAGACTCTGGAGGCAGCCCGGAAGAATCACTTCCTCCAAGCTCTGGTCGAAGTAACAGCCAAAGGTCAGGCTCAAGAGTTGGTTTGGCCAGGTGAATTGCCCCACGGTCTGATCAAACTCTCGTCCAAAGGTCAGGCTCTGCAAGCTGTTGGGGAGAAGCGTCTTCTCCAAGGTCTGATTGAATTCATTGCCGAGGCTTAGACTTTGAAGGCCTTCCGGCCAAGTTACTCCCTCCAAGGTTTGGTTGAATCCACCACGAAAGCTGAGATTCTGCAGGTTGCTGGGGAACTTCACTCCCTTCAAACTCTGGTTAAAGCGATTGCCGAACGAAAGACTTGAGGTTGTCGGGGAAATTTACTCCTTCCAGGCTCTGGTTGAATCCATTGCCGAATGTTAGAAACTGAAGGTTGAAGGGCCATGCCACTCGCTCCAAACTCCGGTTGAAATCCCAACCGAAGGTTAGGCTCTGCATAGAGCTGGGCAAAACCACTCCCTCCAAACTCTGGTTGTATTCACTGCCAAATGTCAAGTGGTGCAGCCTAGGGGGCAAAGTTACCTGCTCCAAACTCTGGTTGAAGCAATTGTCAAAAGTCAAACTTTGGAGTTCGGTTGGGAAGGTCACTGCTTTCAAGCACTGATTGAAGAAACTGCCAAGTTTCAGACTCTGTAAGCCAGTCGGCAAAGCCACTCTCTCCAAGCTCTGGTTGTATCCTCCACCCAGTGTAAGACTCTTGAGGCTGCTGGGAAAAGCTACCCTCTCTAAGCTCTTCTTGAATCCAGCGCCAAATGTGATGCTCTGCAGACTCTCAGGCAAAGTAACTCCATCCAAGCTGCGGTCAAAATCCCAGCCAAACGTCAGATGCTGGAGGCTAAAGGGCAACGTCACTTCTTGCAAGCTGCGGTTGAAATTCCAGCCAAACGTCAGGCTTTGGAGGCCTTGCGGCAAAGTCACTCTGTCCAAACTCTGATTGAATACACCGCTCAGAGTCAGGCTTTGAAGGCTCATGGGCAAAGTCACTCGTTCCAAAGTCTGGTTAAATCCACTGCCAAAGGTCAAGTTCAGGAGGCCACTGGGCAAACTGATCTTGTCCAGGCTCTGGTTGAAGTCGCTGCCAAATGTCAAACTCTGGAGGTTGCTGGGCAAGGTCACTCGATCTAAATTCTGGTTGAATTCACCACTGAGGCTAAGGCTCTGAAGGCTATTCGGAAGCTTTCGTAGTTGATCCAGAGTGCGCATCCCTTCCAAACGTGTGGTCCCTTCCATCGCATGTCCTTCATCCTCCACTGGCAAGCCCAAGATACATCTAAAAGATTCACTCAAGCTGGCTGGCATATATACATAAGTGATCCGCGCATCTTCATCAATCCCTTGCTCCTTGAGGCTTTTCTGCAAAGAAATCATCTCAAATCCTTTCTGCAAGCAGATTCTGGCCCCGGCCTTCGGTGGCAAGCGGTCGTTCAAGAGCTTTCGAAGCTCGCTGCCTCGCATCGACCGAACCACTCTGACCCGGAAGCCTTCTCCATCTAGGCCTGCCACCTGGGTCAGGCGCCAAAAGAAGTAGCAAGACTCGAATGAAGTTAACGTGTCCACAACAACACTCCATTGAAATGCTCGACGTTGGGTTTTCTAGCCACTCTCAAGAAAATCACTATGAGAAAAGAGAAAACAAATAAAGACCCAGCCCAGTGAATCTCAGCGAATCCCACTGTATGAGGAACTAGGGGCACTCATGTCTAGGCTGCTTTTTTGTCGTGGGAATCTGTCACCGCTGAATTCCTGTTAATCAAAGACATCCACCACTATATAATGAATGTTCACCCCTAAAATACAGTCAGGAGGTTGCTCCAGCTCAGATATTTTGCCAGATGCCTTCCTTCAGTGGGATTTCTGGGATCCACTGGAAGCAGTGTTTGGATCCACCTCAAGTTCGATCACCCCCTCCTCCCTGTCTTGCGGAGCATGCGCGGCGTAGGCCGACACAGAGGCCAGCGCATGCTTGGCAAACATGAAACTGAAAGCCGAGTGTTTAAATCAAGCTATATGCATGCTTGAAAGACACCGCAAATATTGGAGGTTCTTCACTAATGTTGCATGTTTGACAACTAAAGGCTTGAGCAAGAAAGGATCAACCAAAGAACAAGGCACATTTCAGCACGGACCAAGACACATCTGGCCAAAACGAGGTTTTATTTGGAAGACTGGAGCAGCGAAGGATTGATCGGGGGCAGTGAAGCAGGTCAGCACAAGGTGACAGGTTTGCAGTCCCATAAGAATTTGTATGATTATATATATATAATATATATGCTTCTATATATATATAATATATATGCTTCTTCCTGCAAAACACGCATCCTCCAAAAAAGCATCCCGCCAGACACTCGCAGGCAAGCAAAGCTGCCCGAAGTACATTTTGCTCCAAAATCAGCCCCAGCCTCCATCGCCTCCATCACATGGGAAAATGTCGCGACATGGCTTCCCCACGCCAAGTCCCCACTGGTCTTGACACAGGTCTTGAGTGCAGTGGGCTGTGGCTGGTCATGATGGTGCTGCCCCCCCAACAAAACACGGAAACTGCAAGCATATCCCGGCCGCAGATTCTCATCTCAAGATTCTGCGTTGGTCACTGTCAGATCCATGTTGCAAGTTTACAATATATATATATATGTCTTCTCTGTCAGATGATCGGAGCTTGGATACTTTGGATGAGTTCATGCAGAAGCCTGCATAAAAGGAGGCAGTTGTCTCAGAAACGGTGTCATGGCACCCGATACCTCACCATGTAACGTGCCGTTGGGTTCCCCCTTCAACCTGGTTTGCGGCGGGTTGGCCATTGGCCCAAGTAGCAAAATCGATGAAGCCAGAACGGCTGCAAAAGCACTACTTGGCCTGCACCATGGATAGTCTGGCACGTGTTGCTTCCGAAGGAAGGTGAAAGCCACCAGAAAATGCGAGAAGCATCAAAAAGATAGACTCGCTCTATTTCATGCTAAGCCGTCTGGAGGGCGACAGTCAAGGATAGTATCAAAGTGAGATTAGTTTGAGGATTTTTGTGGATGCACAATTAAGTCCTCGCCATATAACTCTTAGCCGCTACAGCTGAGCCCACATCATCCCACCGCCCCACTGCACCAGCCCCGCTTCGCGCATTAACTTTTCGTCCACACTCGGACCGCCTGGCGGACCGAGTGGGGAAGGCTCTGGAGGCTCATCTCCCTCACTCACGGCATCGACCGGCGGCTCTGCGCCATGACGGAGCTTCAGCGCAGTGACAGTGCCTGCAACATCCAGCAGTCCATGGGGTGAGCCCAGGCTGGGCCACTTCCAGTCCTCAACAGGAGGAGGTTTCAGGTTTCAGGGGTTCAACTGGGTTTTGGATGTCTGATAAACAGATAAGTGTTGTTTGATACAGTTTCTTCTTCCCATCCTTTGTTCCAACAATCTGAATGTGCCACCCAGCTGTTCGAACAATCCTTGCATGTATCAAAAGCACATCTCAAACACCCTAGATGACACCTGCCACAGTTGGATCTTGTAGTTTTTGGGATCTGAACTTTAAACCATCAACCAAAAAATGCATTTCTGGGTGCGCTGAAGCCCTTGTTTCCTTTCTACCAAAGTTAGGAAGGCCTGATTTGGAGTTGAAATCATCCCACTAGGGACCGTTGTCTTTCTCAATGTGTCATGCCAAAAAATGCAAAAACTGCAGAGGGCAAGGAACAAGACAAATCTGGTTGACACGTCAAAACCAACCATTCGGTGGGTTCCACACATGTCACAATCACAAACTCTTATATTTAATCTAGCAACCATCAATGGGACTTCCACAAAAGTTAAAGCACACAAAAAGACCAAAACTTTACTGTAAGTGGGCTTGAGGAAACACTCTTCCTAGTAGCCTTATTTTGCAAATCCCTGCACCAGTCAGTATGACGGGAGTCCTCCGGCACTGGTGCTTCGTTGGTACACTTCAGCTCACCATCCTGAAGGATGAACTCACCAACAAACAGTCTATATATGAGTGACTATACCTAACAGCGATGGTCTTTACGCTAGTAGCGATGGCCTCCACCCTAGTAGCGATGGCCCAATATACCTCTTTACATGTACAAAAACTTGAGAATGCAAAATGACACACCGAAGCCTGCAGGTCAAACCAAGTTGATCAAATGGCGTCTCAAAAGGGGCACGCCAACTTGTACGACGTGGTGCCACTAAAGTGACTTACTTGGGTTCCTTTGGTCGCCCACCAATCAACGCCCCTTCGACCGTGCTCTGCACTTCAGCTGACAAAGACCACACTTGTTGAAGTTTCTGGGTCAAACACATTGAAAGATGTATTTGATTTTGCTTCAGTAGCTTCTTGTTCCTAGTAGCGATGGCCTCCAACCCAATAGCGATGGCCTCCACCTAGTAGCTTCTTGCTACTAGTCATATCTTGTCATTTTACTAGTAGCTTCTTGTTCCTAGTAGCGATGGCCTCCAACCCAATAGCGATGGCCTCCACCTAGTAGCTTCTTGCTACTAGTCATATCTTGTCATTGTACTAGTAGCTTCTTGTTCCTAGTAGCGATGGCCTCCAACCCAATAGCGATGGCCTCCACCTAGTAGCTTCTTGCTAC